CAGGAGGGATCCCAGAGTAACACATCCCGTCACCCAAGGCGGGACAGACCGTGGGCTGACAGCACAGCCCGAGCGCTGAGAAGGGAGGAAACAGGAAGGAAAGGTTATTACCGCAAGTGCGGGACGTGGCCGCGCCTTAGGGGGTCTTTCCCTTTCCACCTCAGCATCTTCCTCATCGCTGTTGTCAGCAGGGTTCGGTTTTCTGAAAGGTCAGGGCAGCTGGGGCGCAGCAGCAGGGGCGCACAGCTCTCCCCAGGCGGCTCCACGGGGCCCGGGGACCCCACGCAGGCACCGAGGGCAACGGCTGCCTGGGGCTGGGGACACTCAGAGCTTCCTGCTGCCACCGGGCAGGGAGCACGCGGCAGGGCATCCCTGCAACAGCCCGGGGAAAGCGTTTCACCGCTTACCCTTTCCAAACCACGACTTCCAAATAAGTCTGCCTCCTGCCCGAGCACAACTTTGTGCTACAGCCTCCCGGGAAAACAGGACCAAGCACGTTTTTTTCTTAGAACAAAATAGTGACAAGACATTCAAACCTTCCAGGCAGATTCTTCTAACTGCAGGAAAAAGATTCTGGCTCAGAGTAACAAGAGGCCACAAGAATTCTTAAAGGAAAACAGCTTGCAGAGAGAAGCGTCATTAAACACCTATAGTACAGAAGGGGTTATGAAAACATTACCCCCTCAGGTTGATTAAAAATTTAATCTTCCCTACAGCAATTTCATAGCTTCATTTCTGTAAAGTTCTGCAGCAGCCCAAAAGGAACATATAATGGTGCAAGATCATGGCTTTAAACATCTGCATTTTCACTTGCAGAAAGCACAGCCAACCTCAGATCTGCCACCCAGAAGCATCATCCCACCGCGCATGGGGAGAGGAAAGTCACAAACACGGACAGAGCGGTTATTACAACAGGATTTTATTAAATATTTAAATATTAAATAAAAAGTTTAAAATCGTAAAAACACTGCATGCTTAGAAAACACCAACTGATGCATCAACTTATCATAAAACATGTTTCCTTGCATTTTCTCAGTTTTTGAAGCTGCAGTTCAGGCCACAGGTAGATTTGCTGTCAGGCGGGGAATGCCAAACCGCTGAGCTCGTGCGCTTGAAGTACCGAGGCTTGCTCTTGCCAAAAATATCCTCCAGCTTTGGGCTTCGAATTAGCCCGAAGATTTGGTCAACATTCACTGGGTGGTAGTATTGGTATATGATGGCCTGATGGAGCTGAGACCCTGTGGAGACAGAGACCCTGTGGAGACAACCACACCAGAGAACCAGACCCAAAAATCAGTTTTCAGCGCTGCTCGAGTGCCCTTTCCCTCGGAGCCTGCGGGACAGTTACTCTTCTCCCACACCTGAAAAACTGCCACCTGTCCCCTGAGCACGACCAACAGTTTTCCTGCTCACTACAGAGCTCTGAACACCCCACTCCCATCTTCAGGTTGCCAGCAGCGCTTGGCTTAATTCCTCAGCACATGAGCCATGTCCCAAACCCACCAAGCCCCCACCCTCAGATCCAGACACACGCCCGGAGGACTCCGTTTTAACCTCAACACAGCAGCACCCGCAGGGAAGCGGCTCCAGCCCCGGCCCCGCACGGAGCCAGCGCCGCTGAAGCGCCACGAGCTCCTGGGTTGCGCTTTGGGGACACTGAGGTTGCACCAAGTGAACCTGGAAAGCTCCAGCTTCCCAGGGAAGGAATTAAAGGAAAGAGAACGAAACCTGGCACCTACCATCAGCCCAGGCAGGGACAGGCTTCCGAGGATCATTCTCGTCATCTGTGGAGTCATCGCTGTTCAGATCCATCCCGTAGTTATTGCTGCTTAACTTTATGTCCTTCGGGGGCCCTAAGCAGGGCAGGGAGACAGATCCCTGAAACCAGAGGCAACCTCGATTAGAGCAGGAGGCAAACCTTCGAGCCTGCCAGCACAGCTTGCCTTGCAGGGGCAGGCTGGCCCCCACCCCCAGGCACCCGCCGGCCACCAGGCCCGGGCACCTCGGAGCTCTGGCACCAGTAGGACAAGCGGACCGTGCCAAGGCCCCAGCCCAGGTCCCCCGGGAAGACTCTGCCAAGGTATTTCAGCAGAAGCCTCACACTGAACACAAGCCATCCGTTAGGTGGGGAGCTCCCGCTGCCACACGCTGGGCCAGGAACTTCCCTGAAAAAAAAAAACAAGAGAACCTTCCTAGAGCAGACGCACCATTCACACTCGTTTTCCTCCCTAGTTCAAAACCCGGGGGAGCCAAAAGGTCACCCGCCTGCGTAGGGGAAGCCTTTGATCCACACGCTAAGCGAACACCTCTAATGCTCCTACCTGATGGGTAGCTTGGGTCGAGATTTTCAGTAAAACCCCAAACTGCTCAAATCCTTTTGCCTTTTTCCTTTGACTGAACTTTGCTTTGAAATCCCAGCCTAATGAAAGCCAAGCCACGGCACGGGACCGCGCTGAAGCTCCCGAGCTGCCAGAAGAGCTGCCAGCACCCATCTCCATCCCACACTGGAACCCGCAGGGCAGAACAGCGCTGGCCAAAGCTAACAGATACCTCCTGGCTTCGTGGTGAGGAGCAGGGATGACTAGAAGACCTGACAGCCTGTCCTGGTTTTGGCTGGGACGGAGTTAATTTTCTTGCTGGCAGCTGGCACAGCGCTGTGGTTTGGATTTAGGATGAGAATCACGTTGAAAACACACCGACAGTTTGAGTGCAGATGCCGCGTAGCGAAAACTAAGTCAAAGGCTCCTCAGCTTCTTGTCCTGCCCTGCCAGCGGAGGCTGCGTGGGTAACAAGGAGCCAAGAGGGGACACGGCAAGGACAACTGACCCCAAGAGCTCTCCATACCATGGGACATCCAGTATATGAACTGGGAGGAAATGGCCTGGAGGGGCCGAGTGCTGCTCGGGCTCAGTCAGCAGGTGGTGAGCAATTCCACTGCGCATCACTCCTTTTCTCGGGGCTTAGTTCTCTCTTTTTGTTATCTTCCTTTTAATTATTACTGTAATAACTATATTTTATTTTAGTTCAGTTATTGAACTGTTCTTATCTCAGCCCACAAGTTTCGCTTTTTTTTTTTCCCTTCCCAATTCTCTTCCCCATCCCACTGCGGGGGAGGAGGGAGCGAGTGGTGCTCGGTTGCTGGTTGGGATTAAACCCAAGCTGCACGTAGCACAGAATGCAGCAGCACATACACACACACCCGTACTGATTAAAAAATTATCACTGCGCTAACGACTCAATAACTGCTTTTAACCCTTTTCCCCACACGTTTTCTGCCGAAGAGCCTTAGGAGGATGTACCAGGTATGCTGAAGTGGCTTTTGCACACACGGCTCCACCACTCAAACCCTCCCACACGTCTCGCAGCAGATCTGGTTTTCGTTCTCCAAGAGCTCTGACATGACTCACGGTGTGGAGAAGCTGAGGGGGGCACAGAGGAGTCCGGCAGCCCCAAGACAAGAGACTGGAGCAGCTTTTTCCCTTCCCCAGGTCTCAGCAGCTCCACAGAGCCCCCTGGGCCCTGATGACCCCCCTGCGGCTGCCAGCTCTGCCGGAGAAAAACACTTCTCCCCACGTTCTGCGGGTGCAGAGCTCCCAGCCAAGGACCAGGACAGACATCCTCGGCGCAGGTGCCTGTAAAACCCCGGGAGCCTCCAGCCAAGGATTTTGTTTCCTGCTCCACCATCGATGGAAAACCAACCTGCGGGCTGGCTCCAGTCACACACTCGGGACTCGACGTCACGGCTTTGCTGAGCCATGTGCCAGAGGCGGGCGTCGATGCTTCCGGCTGCGCGATTTCTCCCTCTACTCCCGGCTGCTGCAGGAGCTCCTGCAGACCATCTTCCTCCTGTTAAGCAGCAAGAATTAAGTCATTCTTCATTCATGTTCACCCAGGCAAAACAAGCAGACTATCTCTGGAACTCAGCCATATTTTCCAGGGCCCTTACAAAAAAAAAAAAAAAAAAATCATGAGTCCCTCCGAGTCATCTTCTGCACAAAAAAAAAAAAATAAAATACAAACCCAGGACTCAAAGACAAAGCAATTCCTGCCTTTGCTGCAGATGAACAAGGTCTCCAGAGCCCACGCTCATTTTTACCTCTTTGAGCCAGGGACTAGAAGCCACGGCAATGGATTCTGGTTGATTGGCGCTCTTCTCCTGCCCAGGCAGCTGGTGCAGCTCTTTTGGTTTCTCTTCCTCCTAATAAAGAGAAAATAATTTCACTGCTCAAGCTCCTTTTCAACCCAAACTGCTTTTCCAGGAGTTTTTTTCTCCCATAGTACTCAGCAGGGGAGAACCAACAGGAGGGTGAGAGCTGCAGGAGCTTTGAATTATACTCAACTTCTCTCTTATCAGAGGAGCTTTGCTCTGGCTCGCCCCAGCCCAGTTGCTGGCAACACATGAAGAATTTAGACCTTCATTAAAATTATATAGCACAAACAGGAGTTTGAATGTCATGGACCTAGTGAGTGGGAATAGCAAGAGCAAATACAGGAGGAGGAATTTATCCTTAAGCATTTGGGGAGTTGATTTTTCACTAATGAAGAAGGCAGAAGAAAGAGTGATGTTAAGAGCAGAGAGTGGAAAGAAAACGCTACTGTGATATTTTGAGACAAGCAGCTTTGACTTTAAGCCATAACATTCTTTGTGTAAGTGCAGATGAAGTTACACGAAGCCATATGATACCTGAAGTTTGTTGTGGGGATCACATCCTCCAAATACAGCGAGTGAGTGTAGTAGGAAGAAAAATAAAAATCTCTTACTAATTTCCATATTCATTTAAGTATCAGTGACTGCCATTTGGAGGTGTTCTTCAAAGCGCCATTGTATGGCTGTCATCTACCGTGTGACGGGGCTGAGGAGGCTCACCTGCTAACAAGAAAACAGTCAACCCCAACCTTATCACCAACAGAGCCGGCTTATTCTTGCACAAGCCCCAGCTCCTTACAATAACACGTTTGTCTTGTCATCCCTTTTATTGTATTTGTTCCCCCGAATCAGGTAATAGCAAATGTTAAAACCTTAAGCAGTAACACAGCACTTGGAAAACAAGATCTTAAAATAAGTCTGTGTATCCTGTGCCTCGCTAGGTTACAACAGAGAAGCTGTTCCAAGAGCACTCAACTCCCCACCTTTATGTTTTTTTCGGTAAACGCTGCTGACTTCAGCTGTGGTTGGGGGGGCTTCTCTTTCCATCGCTGTTTGTGATCCCTGGGGAGAAAAATACCTCTAATTTAGCTGTAGAGGAAACACGTCCAACTGCCGACTCCCAACTTTCTTAGCGCATCTCCCTTCAGGACCCGCAAGCTCCGGGACAGCCTGACAAGCCGCTCTCCCAGTTTCAGCAATACTATTTAGATCCAGTGCTGCACAGCGCCTGCAGCCAAGCCCCCTCCTCCAGGACAACCGAGCCAATACCTCTCCTTCATTTGTTCCACCTGTTGCTGCTCTACAAGTCTTTTCAGTTCCAAGACTCTCTTTCCTCCTTTTTCCTTCACTTCATCCTCTCTCCTTTTCTGCAGTGGTTCTTGCGGCTCAAATTCATCTTCCTCCTGAAGAAGAAAACCCTTGTAACCCTCCAGCTCAAGCGGGGAAAGATGGGGAGGATATGAAGCGAATGCCTTGAGACAACCTGTGCTAGTTCTGCCTCATTCTTCCCTTCCATGGCCTGCCCACCAGCTCGCTTCTGCGCCTGCAGGTACCCCACGTTCAAACCCAGCATCTCCAGACAGAAATCCTGCAGCACAGACCTGAAAACCTCTGCAGCAGGAGAGGCAGTAACTTCTCCCTGTCCCACCCAGTGCACAGGGCCCCCGCTGCTCCTTTCCCTTCCTACCTGCAGGAGGGATCCAGAGTCGCTCTTACCACCCTTGGCGCTTTCTGCTTCCGTGCATCAGCTTCCCTCTGCTTCTTCGAGAGTTTCTTCTTGCTCCGCTCCTCTGCCACCTTCTCTTCCCGCGCTTGTGAGAGGCGTGCCTGGGAAAGCCACACGTGCCTGCTCCACCACCCCCGAGGACAGACCTCAGGGCCTGGCCCAGACAGAGCGTGGGGACCGATTCTGAAGTCCTAGGGAGGCTGAGAACCCAACACTTGGCGAGCGGCACACGTGTGCTGGGTTTGGTGCCAGCCTCGTGCAGCACACCCCTCCCCGACTCCAGGCCACGTGAAGAGACATCCATTGCTCAGAGCGACAGAAGAAAGAAGCACAGAGACTGTTGCACAACCCCAAAACACACACCTCCACCCGGTAAGTGATCCTGGTCTAGTCGAGAGGTGGTGTCCCTGCCCGTGACAGGGAGGTTGGACAAGATGATCTCTAAGGTCCCTTCCAGCCTAGGCCAGTCTAGGATTCTGTGAGTCAATGCAGAACAAGGGGTTGAGCACCTGGTTTCTACCTCATCTGTGATGCTGCTGCCGGCTAACTGAGCCACAGAGTGGGAGGTGGAAGCTGCCCAAGCCCCAGAAACACGTGCCCAGCAGCAGACTAGCCAGGGCTGGGTGTACTTTTGGCCACTCAGGTTTTGGAAGAAGCTGAAAGGAGCATAATTGCTTTGCTTTCTAATGCTGACCCTTTCCAAAGCTGACCCTAGTCCACCTCCCAAAACTGACCAACCATCCTTCTCCCAGAGGCTGCAGGTGAGGCACAGTCTCCCTCAGTCCCACAGAGCCCGCGCAGTTGCGCGGAAGCGGCAATGCTGCCTGCACGCAGCCACCGACAGCCCGTCCCAGCACGCTCTTCATCTTCCACCTGTCCTCAGAAGAGGCCCAGACAAGGCTTTAACACACAAACATGACAAATACACACACAGCCAAGTCTACAAGTCACATGCAACCCATGCATGCTCGCTCTTATTCCCACCACATCCTTGCAGCCTCCTGCAAGCTCCGCGGCTTCGCCGTCTGTTGCATTTTGTGTGAACGGCTCGCTCTGAGCAGGGCTGTCTCATCAGCAGGGCCTGTTCACAGCACAGCCGAGGGATGCTGCCGCATTCCTTGAACGCAGAGCACCATAAACACCGCGTGTCAGAACACGAATGTTTGGAGATGCTGTGGAGCTATGGAGAACAATAGCCTCCTCTTGTTAGAGACAGGATTTCACCGTGTGATGCAGACTTACCCACCACCTGATTAGTCACCATCAGCAGCAACCCTGTGCTTGCACGTACCGTGCCAGGGGCCTGTTTGCACTCCTCCAGCTCACCGAGATCATGCCACTGTGATAAGTGGTGCAAAGCGTGGTCACCTTCTTACCTTCTCATCGTTCTGCAAAATCTTCTGCTCCACCCGCTTTTTCTTCTCTTCTTCCATTTGCTCCACCCGCTCCCGAGCCTGCAGTGCCTTCCTCCGACGCTCCTACCTTCT